GATGGGTGTGATCCCACCAATTCCAGACGGATGGGAATTACTTCTTCTAAACCGGAATGATCGCTCAACTACGTGCGTGGCAAGCGGCAGTAGATGCCGCTGCACCCTAATTGGGATTAGTGCCAAATATTTCGGATACGGTCCTAATTAGTAAGAGAAACTTACTGCTCTAATCCAATAGTGAATTTTCCATCCTGAGCAAACTCGTGACTCAGCAAACCACGAACGATAATGCTCCATTCAATGGTGAAACAAGCGAGAAGCAAGTTCACTGACACGGCTGAGAATCCGTAGCGCTGGAAAATGAGACTTTAGTAAACTTTCTCAAGGTTACAGAAAACCATCATCCTGAAGCGATAATTCCCTTACCCTCAAAAATGTCATCAAAAAACCGAAACCAATGAAGATCATCACATGAGTGTCTTGGAACACTGAAATTCTCTCATATGCAAACAGGGAATGCAAGAATCGATATATCGATCGAATCACTACTTAGCAACAAACATACTTGGGTACTGAATAGCCATAGCGCTAGTGCTCTCTGATCCGCCAGGCATAGCATTTACAGCGTACTTTCCAAACAGTCCATATAGAATCATAAAGACGACCTTAAAAAAGAGGTTAGAAACCATTCCAGGTTGGATTTTTTGGAAAAGGTTGGCACACACAGTTTTAGGCTATCGAGGGCAGCAGACTAATACTTACCGGAAGTCTGTAACAGGCTGTCTGTAAAGGATCTGGCAGATTCTATAACGCAACAGCGCTAGCTCGAATCAGTTCGACAGTTTATTAGAGGCTGTTACAGTTTGGTTAAACAAGAACCGATGGAAAGGATCCAGCGAAACTACAAAGTGGTCGCACCCCTGCCAACCGAACTGCGCCAAAATGTTTATGAAGCACTGACCTGAGCAATGAGCACCAGGATGGTGAATTGGTTCTTCTGGAAGGCGGACGCCATCCTTGGATCTCTGAAATTGTTCTGTAGTTAACAGAAGAATTTGGCACTGATCAACAGCGCTACAGAAGTCTGAAGTACTGTTATCGGCACGGTAATGAGTACCACTATTTTTGCAAGATCATCACAAAACGTGTGCTGAGCTATGAGCAAAAGTCTTGACCCTAGGCGGTACTCAAACGCGCACTTTGCGCTGATAAAGATGAGTGCGCTACCCTTTTGCAAGTTACTGGTTGAACGACACCAAGTACAGTCTTTGAGCGGGCTGCATTTGTGCAGACGTTTTTTCCCGATCGGGCAGTGACATTCATCTTTCTAGCGGGCGGCTTCTTCCCAATTTCAGGGTCACATTAGTGCTTCATTTTCATGTGTAGGAGTTTGCTCCGGTAAATTTGGCTAGCGAAGTTGTTTAGCAGGCTAGCTTAGACTTCTGCAGATGAATGTCACATCTAATCTTGACACGGGGCCGGTCTGCAGTTACAAGCGTTTTTTGTGATCAGAGAAGCCTGTACGCCAGAGCCTGAGGGGGTAATTGCTACTCTGCCCAACCACGCAGAGGATAGATCCAAGATTTTCTTCATCAAGCTTGCTAACCGTTCTCGCTCCTGCTTATTGCTTTTTCGTCCCTGATGGTCTCCCAGACCTCTGCCTTCCCTATGCTTTGCGGTCGCACGCCTCTCAGCACAAAGCTAAACTTGATAACCTTGACATATTCCCCCAACACATGCAGTCCGGGAAGACCAGGGAGCATGAAACAAAGAATCGAAATGCTGAGAGACGAGAGGAAATCGGTGGAGATAATGGCAGAGTGAAGGGGTGTGGGGGGGGGGGACACAGTCCTTCCCCCTGCCCCAATAAGAACTATAGCACACAGCCCCAGATGTCAGGCGTCTCGGCCAAACGAAGGCCATATCCTTGACCACGTCAGATAAGCGTCGGAAATCAGTTTCTCATCGAAGCCAGGAAAAAAAATCATGAAAAAAGAATCGTGCCTAAGCTCGGAAAGTGGAGCAGGAGAAGGGTGAATAGAAAAAATAAAGGTAATAAAAAAGGAAAAAAGCAGACTGTGGAGTGAAAAAATTAGTTTTGCGGAGATCCCTGAACAGAAACGAGCGGCTCGTCCAAGTGAGCATTTTACGAGTTTGACATTGATCTGTGAGTAAACGCACTTACAGAACTGGCAAACATTTACAGTCAATGGGCCAAAAAATCGGCTACTAAAAATTGTATTGTTGGCGGGACCAGTTTGCGGAGTCATCAGTGGACGCTTAGGGTGATTCATTAAAGGGTTCATTGCCTCTCGTTGGAAATCTGACGATCATGTAAGTTGACAAGAATTCTAAACATTCACCAAAGTAATTCCCCTTTCGAGTAGCAGAAGAAATCGTAATGCGATTTTTTCGCCCACTGATAGGCTCCTCCCACTGCTGCATTCTCAGTCACAGTTCAACCCATCTATTACCTGGCATCTCTTGTATTTCCGCCCACAGCACGTGCATGGGCGTTTTCGAGAAGTTAGCAGGGTTGACAGCTACAGTTTCAGAGCGAATCTGGGGGAATGGGGCAGATGTATGAGAACTTGAATAGTCTGGTTGGTTACCGTAGAATGTAAGCCCCGCGAAATGGGGCCAAACTTTCAGGATCCGCCATGCATTTGACTCCTTGTCAGGACTCCAAATGCAGGCCTAATGGACATTATTTCTCACAGGAGGCATTTGATTTTCGATGCAGCGCAACAAGTGAGTAGCACCAGAATGGTAGAAGGATTAGCTAGAGCGCCAGGCAAATGCGATCCACACAATTCGCGTGATAATTGTTTACTCTGGCCTTTAACACCCAATTGTGTCCCAACTACAACCCTCTTGCCGCAATGCGATCTAAATTTAGTGGGTAAACGGGTGTACAAGTTCGAAAAGGATTTCACCGCCTTGCTAATAGTGGAATGATCTCAGTTGGATTTTCTGACGAGAAATGACGACAGGCGATGATTACATAGTGGCAAGTAGCCCTTTCCAGGCTCGCGAGCCAAGAGTCCAACCCGGTCTGGCCTTGCAGGGTCAACCAAGCTTCATCTGTCGTCGACGGTACATCGTGTCTAGATTCGCTTTGAGGATAAGACACGTGACTTGCACGTCGGACTGACCACCAGCAAATCACTGTATACACCGGATTCTATTATCCGCTGCGAACTGTATCGGAAGTAGAGAGGCGTTCAACTTTCAAATGGACCTGACTAGCGGTTGAACCATATCCTTTATCTTTTGAAGGGAAATCAAGACAACAGCTCATAAAGGGTTATGAATAGGACCTCCTAGATCCTCATGAAGGGGTCATATTACCTTATTTCAACCTAAATAACTGCAAGCACGACTTCCACATTTTCTATAGAACATGAGACATCCGCGCTGAGAAAGTCATCCAGAAGCATTAGTTGAAATCAATTACGGAGCTCCAACGTGCTGATCGGTGACCGCTTCCCTTCGAGGAGAGCAAGCAGAGACCTATGGATGGACGTGACAAGCGAATCGTAATTCACCGCGCTGGTGGGCACCCCAGGCGACGTCGCGTCAGCGAATGACGATAGTTCTAGGTTGTAGATGGCGACGACAGGCAATTCAGATCCGAAAATAGTCGTGAATGTCTACGATGACGGGGGTTTGCATGAAGTCCGGTGCTGTAATCGACAGGTTAACACGGGTTAGAGAAAACCGGCGCGCGGGAGCGATTACGATTCTCTTTGCGTTTCCGTCATGAAGGAGGGAGGTTGATTGTCACCCAATCGGCTCTTCAGAGGGAATTGGACTAAGAGGGCGAGTATTCTTCATCGCCATTAAGTTACTGCTAATCCATAGCGTGGCAATAAACTTTCAGGTTTCTCACTCACAACAGAATACGAGCTCTAGCAGGAGATTTGGATATTTAGCACATTGGTTGTTGGTAGTGGTGTGTGATAGCAAATGGTAAGAGGCAGTAAAAAGCAATTGGTAGGGAGATGACCGCGGGATTTATGTGGACCGGAATGTTTCGCGACAGCCCAATAAGATCATAATGCGCACAATTGGATGAACTTTTTTTGTCGAGTGAGCTTACCAGGTGTCAGGTGATAATCGTAAATTCATGGCAATGCTCGTCTATTCACCGGGTCATTTATTATCCGAAGGTCACGCAACGTTTCATTGTGTTCATTAGATGGATCGTAATAGGAGAGATGAGTTTCTTATCAAATATGGCTTATGATTCGATTTTTGGCTCGAGTGATTGGCCAAAGACCGCAGCGTTCGTTGATAATATTTCCCAAGTTATCTATCTGCCAGTGATTAATTAAAAATGCTCACGTTGAAGTTTCTCTATAGTGACCGAGAGAAGGAATGAATCCACGGTTAGCAGAGAGATCTGCTAGATTAAAAGCCAAGGACCATACTAGACAAGAGATTTCAGCGGAATCATTTCTGAACCTACCTTCTACGCAAAGTTAATAGTAACTATCAAAGATTATCAATGAGTTAGTAGCACAAGAAGGTTAAGTTTTGTTCGTGTCAATTCATTGAAAATGATAAGCGAGCTCTGTTAATTTAGTTTTCTAAAATGCAGAAAGTAAAGAGTGGGCGGCTTGGCGGCTTGGAGGCGGCACTTTGTATTCATTTCCTAGTTCCTTTTGTCTTCCGAGTTTCCTTTCCTGAAATAACGGCCCTGAGTATATAGCGAAACCTGTAAAATGCTGTGAAGCGCGAAATGATGCGAATGAGCCACTTTAGTCACAGTGGTTCTTTGGTGTAGTCTGAGTAGTCTAAGTCAGTACAGCTGAGTACCAGTCGGTGCCCTCACCAAGCCGAACTGCGCAAAAAGGGAATTTCCCCAATTGATCTTGACTGTTTCCTCGAAGAAGTTCTTTATATCTTCCCGCAAATTGTGTGAAGGATAAATGTAAAGGATGTAGGAGGCGAAGTTGGTGTAGTGACAAGTGGCTCGCTTACCCTGGGTTGAAATCCTGGGTCGACTCGCGCCCAAGTCTCCAAGCTTTCTACCCTCTGGGTACCGGTAAATTGGTACCAGATTCGTCTGGGAGGATAAGAACACTGACTTGTACATCGGCTGGCCCCCGCAAGTCATTGTATAGGCCACATCGCATTCAATAAGCCACTACGATTCTGAATGGAAGTAGAATGCGTGCCGCATCCCACAAAGGGATTGATCAACGGCGAAGACTTTATCCTTTTTTGTTCTACATATTGTAGCCCTTGGATCATGCTCACAGAAGAGGCTCTGATACAGCATGATACACTCCTTATTGCGCTCATCTTTCGAAATACCTCTTGAGAAAGTGCAAAAGACATAGATTTAGAACTTAACAGCACAAGCTGGACACTAGCTTTGGCTATATCAGAGCAGCGCATGTGGGTTGCAAAGTTATTCGAAGGGCAGGTTCTGCAATAAACTTTTTCAGTGGCACGATTGGAACCTGCACGAAGCAAAAACGATGAAACGTAGTAGGGCTGGAATGGTAACGCTGTCACTATTCGAAACGAAAGCGCTCATTCAAATCTGAATAATCCCCGCTGCGCCTACGAAATCTATAGCGTGATTCGTTTACTGATGGAATTCGTAGCGCACTGAATGAAAATACCAGTTGGATGAAGTGAGCCCGAGGACAAGTAGGGACATAGGCCCTTCTGAACTAGGTCATGTACAACAATGCAACAAGTAGTAATTGTTCATAGTTGAAAAAACAAATAATCCTGGCAAACAAATAATCCTGGTAAATCCGTATTTCGGGACTGATACCCCACCCTGCTGCGTTTTGGAAAGAGATTAGGTACATTCTTCTATGCAGTCTACGTACTTGCCGA